TTCCCATTTGTGTTGGCATGAAAGAAAAAGCTTCTCATTAAAACACAACTCAAAAAAAAATCACATTAACTGTGGTATTTCTACACACACACACAGAGAGAGAGAGAGAGAGAGAGAGAGAGAGAGAGAGAGAGAGAGAGAGAGAGACTTTGAGCCCCATAGATTAAGAAGGAGTTCTAAATTGTCTCCAAATAAAATAAACACAGAGATGGAAGGCCTATCAGTATATCTGCATGGCAGTGGCTGCTTGGGCTGTGTGCTCAACCTGTGCTTTTTTTGTGAGTAGCTCCCAGGAGGAAGCAGTGACATCTAGGCTTATGATAAGATTTGCCTTTGCTCATAATTATTAGACCCAAAGTAAGCAACTGACCTTACTGCTCCATGTCTAGAATTAATGATCTCTCTTTTTTTAAACAACAAAGCTAATTTTGCCCGTTTTTTGTTATTTGTAGCAAAAAAAAATCAATAAATAATGTAACTTGATGATCACATTTCTTTTCATGTTCCTCGCAGGCTGTGCAATGCCTGTACCCTACACCGTCACATACACCCTCCAGCACCCTGCTGCCAAAGAGAATTGCTTGGGCCACTGAGCACCTTCCATAGCCAGAAAGATTGAATAAGTACAGTGCAGAGTTTGAATCTCCCTTCAAGGCTCCCATACTCCTCTAAGAGAGCTCCTAAAACCCCTTCAGTAACCATGTTGGCGTTTTGTCCCTAACAAATACCCGAGAGGAACAATGATAAGGGGAAAGATGTGTTTCTGTTCAGTGTCCCAGAGGTTTCTGTCCAGGGCCGGCTGGATCAGTTGCTTTGGAGTAGGTGTGTGTGTGTGGGGGGGGGGGGCTAACATGGCAGTAAAGATGAGTCTTGTGAGGGCTGGGCAGCAGAACAAACAATGGCTCTGCCAGCAATTGTCCTCCTGCTTTGCCTGCCAGGCCGTCGGGCCCCCAGTCCTTTGGATGGTGACTGAGGGCAGATCTTCGCTTGCAGACATGCCCAGAGCGATGCTTTGGTAGTCCCCCAGGTGTCTCTCAAATCAGTCAACCGAATATCACAACCACCACAGAAACTACCCTACAACCTTCAGCTTCATCAGGCTCCTAAGAAGAAGCAGGACTGAAGGACACAGAAGGCCAGTCCCTCCGGGTTGCTTTCAGACCTATATTGTGATCCGGACTTGCCTGCCTAGAGGCCACCCTACTTCCTGGTATTACAACCTTTGGTAGAAAAACATGGTTCTGAGTGTTGAGACCACAGGCAGGGAGATCCCTTGAGAAGACCCACTCTGAGGTCCATGTCCTGAAAAGGTCTGGTTCCTCACTGCCTTCCTGACTTTGTCTTCTAGTCTCTCTTTCCTGTTCTTTCTTTAAAAGCACAAAAATTCAATTTGGCATAAGAGATAATGAAATGTTTAGTGACCTTGTTGGATATAAGGAAACACATTCAGATTTTGTAAGAATATTAACACATTTTTAATAATATTATCTAATCAATGTAAGAACTAAGTAGGTGAAAATATTTTGCACTTTGCTTTTAATTATCATAATCCCTTATGTTTTAGGAATTTCAATGCTCCCTAAAACCAAGAGAAATGCAGACTTGCTTCTTTTCTATAGAGTAATGATCCTGACAACTGGGGCAGAAATTGTTAACCTTGGGAGATGCCTGTTTTCTTTTTTGGTTGCTAATGAATTGTGTCCACATAGTTACATCCTTATTATAACACAATGAACTGTGGTTTGCAGTGGGGTATAAAACAAAACAAAAAACAGAGAAGCTGGGGAGACAGCTCAGTCTTTAAGTGTTTTCCTGGGATCTGAATTTGTCCCCCAGAACTTCAAAGCCACATCACACCAAACACAGTCTCAGCACTAGGAGGGCAAAGCCATGTGGAGTCCTGGGGCTCTCTGCCCAGCTGTCTTAGTCAACTTGCTGAACCCCAGATTGGTGAGAGAATATGTTAGAAAAAAAAGATGGATGATGCCTGAAGAATGGACCTCAGGTTGTCGTTGTAACTTTGATATAAATGTGCATAGAAATTCCTCCCCCCCAACACAAACACCACACACACTCATGACCACCTTAAAGCAAAATTTCATCACATAGTTATAGAAATTAGTGGAGATAAGTGAGGACAGTATGCTAAGCCAATTGGACAACGAACTTTTGAGAACAAGCTTCCCCTCACTTCTATATGATTGTGTGAGCTGTTTCTCCACAGAGGACTATCCACCCTGGAGCACAGTGGACCACCAGAGAGGATGGGGAGAGGGATGAGTAACTGCCAGGAATAGTCGGAGTTCTTGTGCTTTCATAATTAGTGCAAAGGTTTCCAGTAGAAACACTTCAAAACATTCAAAGCCCCCAAATGACTGGCTTCAATGCCATTGTTTACAACGCTCACCCAGGGTCATTTAATTATTTAAATTTTATGAGTTGCTCAGAGCCAAGCCATTGCTAACCTGTAGAATCATTTCTGGTAGAAAAAACTCTTAAATACTATGGTTTATTGCTTAAGGGAAGCTTTGTGTCTAACCTAACACTTTTATTTTAGCATTTCCTTATTAGTTGATAATACATACATGCAATTCTTCAAGTTCTCTGTGACTGAACTGCCTTATCTTTTGGGATACTGCTATGGAATAATTCTTCTTTACACTGTGAAGATGTGTTTCTCTCATTGTTAATAAAAAGCTGATTGGCTGGCAGCTAGGCAGGATTTGGGGGGCAGGAGGATGCCGGGAAGAAGAAGGGCAGAATCTTGGAAGTCAGCCACCAGATGCTGAAGAAGCAACATGGGAGCCTCAGGTCAGCACATAGATGAATGGAAATGAGCTGATTTAAGTTATAAGAACTAGCTAAAAATAAACCTGGGTTATTGGCCGAGCATTTATAATTAATAGTAAGTCTCTGTGTGGTTATTCTCAGAGACAGCAGTTCCAATGAGAAAATTCCACCTACAGGATATCTTGTTTATTCATGAGTTGAATAAAACCCTGGGCAGATGTCCGTTTTAGCCTGTGCCTGAGTCATGCTTTCAGCTTCTTGCACATTGTATGTTAACACCACTGGGCACCTGCTTCTTTCTTGCTGGCCTTGGTGGTGTACAGTGAGCACACAACTCAAACAAGAGGACTTGGTTTCGTGGTCACGTGATATAGCTGTTTAATTAGCACTGGCATGTAGGTAAATTTCTGGAGAAAATAACAACACTCAATAAACAAAACAGAAAACTGATGGGGAATATTATTTTAAGGGGTGTTACTTTTGTTTATGTTGCATTTGTTTAACTCTGTGAAGCTGTGTTACTTTGCCTGTTTAGAACACCTGATGG